GGGGTTGGGGGAGGCATACAGAGGACGTTGGTCAGGGCGAGGCCGCTGGCGAGGAGCTGCTGGGTGCTGGGCAGGTGCATGATAAGATGTTTGGGGTTTTCTGATGTTGTATGTAGTTGGGTGATGGTTGTAGTTTGGGTGGGCTTGGACAAGACACAATGCAACGGCGGAAGGGGGCAAGGCTCCATTGTAGGCCGCGTACACATGGATTCTTGAAACCGGATTTCTGGGGGCCTCGATTCCAATGGTCCAGGCTTTTCTGTTGTGATGCGATCGATGACGATGGCGTTTGCTGTTTCGGGAAAGGCGCTCCGGAAGCTCGGCGGCGCACGGCTGGCCGACGGCCTCCAAATCCCTTACAGAGCATTGAGGACAAAAAGCAAGGAAATGCGGGCTCGGAAATTCAAGCTCATAATTAAGCTATTGGAGCGACCTTGGGGCTTAATCCACTCATTCTTGGCAGGGCTTAAAAAAGGGCAACCGTTGGTGTACTTCCCGACAATGCAAAGGGGTTTGTTTACATCCACGTGCTGAGTAGAAGAAAAACATGGATGACTACTTTCGCAACCAAGCTACTCTTCTTCATCGTCCCAACCGAATATGAGTTTCACTGGAGTCGCCTCTTTCTCAGTCTCCGGCACCAGAGGCTCTTCCGAAGGCGCAGGCTTCTCGCTCGGCCACTCCCGTGCACAAAACGGATGTGCCATCACCTCGGCCATCGAGATCCTCCCTTTTGGGTCGCTGACGAGCATCTTCTTCAACAGATCTAGTAGTGCCTGGCGCTCTTCTCCCTGAAAGTCGGGTTTCGCAGCCAGCTTTTGCCAAGTCTTGTCTCTGTCCGCGGAGTAAAAGCCTGAAGAAAAAAGCGCATCAGTATATGAAACGTTTCGTGAGAATAGAAGCAAAGATGCAGCAGTGAATGGGGTGAGAGAAAAAAAGACAAAGATGAGAGAGACCAGAGAAAGGGGCTACAAACCTGCCCAAAGATCCATTTTCGGTTTCGCCAAGTCTAACCACGCTTCGATTGGAGGGCCGCCAAGCTCTAAGCAACGAACGATGTGCTCATCTTCGTGGGACCAGGTCGAGATGGGGTCACCCGTTGCCACAGAATACATCTACCGAGAATTGTTAGTTGACTGGGTCTTCTTTTGCGGTTCTGCTCACGCCGATTTTATTGTCCGGTCAGTGAGATTAAAAAGGACGCGCCACCTACCAGACACGCGACGGCCCATACATCAGCTTCGGGGCTCCGGGGGCTTCCCAGTGTGCCTCCGGACAAGTGATGAATTGCTACTTCCGGCGGCTGCATTATCGACGACGGGGTATACGATGGATTTGCTGCTTCTCCGCTGCTCTTGTCCGCTGCTCATGAGGGAGCTTCATGGTCAGCCGCAGCCAGAACAATGAGAAAAAAAAAAAGCGAAGCACGCTGCGGCTGGGACGACATTACCTTTCCCGAAACCCAAGACCTTGATCTGCAGCTCCCAATATTTTGGAAGAAGCTCCTGTTGCTTCAAGAATAAAGCCAGGGAGTCCTTTCGCACCGCGTATGCTGGCACCGTCTTCATCGGGAACCCCAGCTGGCGAGGCACCACTGGAATGAGCTCTTCATCCGGGAAGTCGCACGAAACCTGTTCCTCGTCAACACCGCTTATCTGGGGAAGCGCGGCTCCAAGGTGTTCGAGGCACGGATCTGCGAATTTTTAATTAGTCTTCTGAGAGCCGCAGACGAAGAGCCCCTAAGCGCGAGGGTTCAGACTTACCTCCATGTGTTATGCCCTGCTGGTGCAAAAGTGAGAATGCTTGTGCCACCTGGCGCGCAGAAGAGAAAGGTCTCTTGTCTTTGACCCAGTGGTCGGTCAACGGGGCGACAACCTCAGTGACGATGCACTGATGCAAGCCGTTTGGACCCTTGATGATAAACGAGTCACGGAGTTCAACAATGTGATCGCGGCTCGGCTCGCTTTGGCAGCCGTCACGTATCTCAACTAACAAGGCTACTTCTCTGCTTTTTGCCGAAAGCTCGGAGCCTTGGCATATCTTGATGGCGACCCAGCGACTGAGCCACGGTTAGTTTGCACATCAAGAGGGGGGGAAGGGGGGGAGGGCGACGCTTACTCCTCCACTATGTCTCTCGCCATCCAAACTGTCGAGGATTCCCCATGGCCAAGCTTAACAAAGATCCTGTATCTTGGTTTCATGTCAGGTTCATCAACGCACGTCTGCGGCTCTGGGAGCACTTGTCCAAGAAGGACAGGATGGAGTCCATGCCGCTGATAGCGCGTGAGATTTTCAACCTGGAAACACTCGCCCCGTGATAGAACAGCTCGATCTCTTTATCAACGGAAACCACTTCCGCCATGTTAAGCTTTTGTCGCTGGTGTTAAGGTGTCGGTGGTAGTTGGGCTCCAGGGAGATGCAAGCGCTGAATGGAAGGGTGGCCGCGTTTGCAACCAAGTATCAGTATATGTACGTGACTTCCATCGTGCAACAGTAGACTCCACTCTGTGCGAACCAACAACCGAGCTTGAGTCACGCCTACAGCAAGATGGAAAAAGCAATTTGATAGCGCAAATGCAATTCAACAATGGGAGTGCTGTGGGAAGCACTCGGCGTCCCGTACGGCTGCGGGTGCACGTACTACTGTGATTGTGCTCTCGTACTTTTGCCAGCCCGGCATAGGAGCGACCTCTCGTGTTTTTCTTGTTAGCAAGACAGAAGCCAGGGACTGATCTCTCATAAATGATTGGCTCCAGAATGCTTTCTAGCATCTTCTCCCGCTTCAGGAGCCGCCGCCAAGAGCGATAAAACAGAGCCAACGCAGCCAGTCTGCCTTTTGTGTTCAGCTGCGAGTCAGGCATGGCCTCGCTCCCATCGAGTATAAAGAGATCTCACTCGACGCCATACTCAGGACTTACTTCTCTCAAGGCAGTCCTCTATCAGACAATAACATCGCATACTTTTCTATATTTGTTGCATTTCTCTATCTGTTTCTCTCGCATCTTGTCATCATGGCTAACGCAGATGAAGAAGAGAAAAAGAAGAAGAAGACCCCGGGTCACGTTAAAATCGTGGGTTGGGATGCAGCTTGGGGCAATCGGCCTCTCTATATCTACTACCTGCACCACTCCCCAACTACCAGGGCAGACCTGAGCCATGAGGTAGGAATCTTGACCAGCTTTGCACAAGCATTGGAAAGAAATCAGAAGTTAAATAGCATATATTCTATTCCACAGTAGTTGCATACTAGTTTTAACAACTCGCAGGGGCAAAAGGGCATAATTGCGCCACGAGATATCTTACCTCCTTTTATCTTCATTGTTCTGTATGACCCGCCCCCTTCCGCCATGCTCACTTTCTAGAAGTCTTCTACTTACAAAAGTGTCACTCGCCGTAATTTAGAAAAGGGCTACATCGAACAGAAGAAACTCCTACGTCTCCTTGGCACATGACTCTTATGGTAGGTAGTGAGGATTCGTGGGAAGGCAAGTGCGACGACAATGGCGAGAGCTATGCGCGCCAAATCTTCCATGTCTACACGTGTTGGAATTTTCAGGAATCTGGCTACGGCGAGGTGGTCTCTCCAGAGAAACGAGAAAAATAAGCTTCGTTCCGACGACGTCAAGGCGTCCCTAGCTGCGGCGAAAGGGACGGAGCTATTGTCAACACTACCGGGCCAAGACATCCCCGACGACGAGTGGAGATACGTGCGTGAGGTGGTTTTCCAACCCGACGAGGAGGCTTTTGTCGGGTGCGGAGATGTCGAATATTTGCCGGAGACGGATGAGTTCAGGGTTATTGGAGCCTAGATGCTTAGTGAAGGAATGGCTCTACGGGATGGCGCCTAGGCGTACCTCAGCTGCCTGCGGCAATTGGTTCAGGTACCGTATCTAGCACAGAATCATGTATGTATCTTTCAGGTGTTTTGCCTCTATTGCGTATCTCGCCTGGGCTAGGTATTCAAGGGACGAATACGACACGGTACCTCCGCTATGCCAGTACTCCGGAGGAACTCGCATCCCGGGGAAGATGAAAACGTTGAAGAATATAAATATTCCCGAGCTCCCTTATTATAGTGCCCTTCTTAAACATGATAAGATCAAGTTTTGCTGCGATGCTTCTCACGGTGAGCAGTGACAACAACAGCGTTGTGGGAGTCGAGTCCTGGAGTAAGGTCCGCCTCCTGGAAGTTGTTTTTAACTTTAGCCAGTGAAAATATTGAGACACTTCAGCTTAATAAGCCCTAATAGAAGGGTTTTTGTGAGGACTTAGGTAGCTTTTTCACCATTCACTTCAGTCCATACACAGTCCACAGACTCAAGCGCGCAGCCCGCCACGACAGCCACTCAACCTCCAACGCAGGCGGTTCACGGAGTCAGGACGGAAGGGTTCACGCAACGGTGTAAAGCTCTAGATAAAGATAAGACGATACGAAGACATAACCCTATGAAAACTATGACCCAGTCCTGAAGAAAGTTAATGCCGAACCCGCAGCAGCCGACTCCTGAACGTCTACATCGCACAACATTGGCGATCACCCTCCCTCTCAAGCAACTTGGCGTCGAACAAGGTCGCCGCCCCTGGTCCTCCTCGACGGTCTCTTTTCTTGACTGCGTCCGAAGAAGGGAGGAGAGTAGTCTTCGTTCGACATCCATCGGCGATACCACAGTATCGCAAGACCCCTGCAGCTGCAGTCGTGCAAGACGCCGCGCGCCTATGTCCACAGACAGTCGCTCGCCGGGCGGGAGAACCTCTGTGTCGAGGCGCCATCCACCAAGGGGTGTCGTTCTTGTCCGCTGCGTCCATAGTTCCTGATGGGAAAGGGCACTGCCTGTCGCGCCGTCCGCAACAAGGGGAACTCCGTCTACCAGTAGGGACTGGATTCTCTTAGCCAGCGCCCCGTTGTTTGGGAGACCCCGGAGTACGGGCGGCCGTCGTATTGGCCGGCATATGTTGTAGTTCTTCCCCAAACCCCGCTGGAGTACCGTGGAGGGGGGCTGTAGGCCGGATATAAGGGAACGAGCGTGGGCACGACCGTGGAAACGATCCTAGGAACCACTGTGGGAACCACCGCCAGCACGGGCGGGGGGGGAGGAGGTGGTAGTAGATAATAAGGCCACATGATATCGAAGGGGGAGCTTTGATGTATTTGTGGTTATTCGTTTGCCACCTCGAGTTGGTGTGGCAAGAGCGGAAATAGGTCGATTGCGAAACAAGGGTAGGCGAGTGAGTGTTGAAGACGCACAGTTGGGTAGGGAAGACGAGGGGCTACGTAGGTGACAGACCGCTGCTTTTTAAAGACCAGAAGAGAAGGGGGGGACGAGAGGACTCAAAGACAGCGGAGTAGCACAACGTATCGCCTTGCTCAAGGCGCCAGATGCAAGCAACCACCGAGGTAAGTAGCCGCCAACTTATTTGTGCCCAAAGATGGGCGTCGCCGCGGTCGCACACGTGCGTACCCGTGTAAGGCAAGGGCCAGGGGAAGAAGGCGAGCCATGTCTATCGCAGCACCAGCATGCCGCATCCTGGTTCTACATGTGCAGCTGAAGAAAGGACGAAAAAAGAGGAGAGTAGGCGCCGACTATCTGGTTGAATGCAGTGGCTTTCGTCGTCACACAAAGGTCTCAGGCAGTCGAGGGGGGACAGGGCGGCCCGGGGGGAACGGCACGAAAAGCCTCTTTGGTATGTTGTCGTTTTTCTCATTTATCAATGCATTAGTATACAAAATTGTAGGTCGTCGTTACCCGCCGCCGCCACCGGCGTCCAACCCTGTTCTGCCCTCCCCACACAACCTTGATCGTCTTTTGCTGTGTGGTTTATCGGGCGTTGCGCTCCTGCTGCTTGCGCAGGCGGTCGACAACACCCACGCGCTCCTCGCGTAGCGTCACCCAGAGCCAGAACCAGGCGACCATCTCGATGAAGACAAAGGTAAAGATGACGCGGTTTTTGAGCCCGTCGGTCGCTGAGCCGCCGCCGCCGCCAAAGAAGCCGGGTTTGCGACTGGTGCCAGTCGTATACGCGCCGAGGGGGCCGGTCGGGCCAAAGGTGTAGCTGTAAAAGACGAGGCCCATGGAAACCATGAACCGTACGGGCGCTGTTTGTGCGGGCGTATTAGCAGCTTTCTGTGATACTACGCATAGAAAAACTGGTAGGCGGCACAAAAAGGGGACGGTGGCGAGCGAAGCGAGGACCAAGAAGACAAACCTTGTGTGCCCCAGTAGTAGAGCGCGCCCAGCTCCTCGGGCATGGAGAGGGAGACGAGGTCGCTCAGGCCCAGCAGGGCGAGGACGACGGCGAGAAAGGCGAGCGCCGGGGATGGCGAATCAAGTCCACGAGCGGGTGGCTGTGCGACCAACGAAAGGTTTTGCACGAGTTAGCGATGCGCTTTGGGGAAAATGGTCAAAAGGGTAGTATCTGGTGATACAGTGCGTGGTGGGAGGAAGGGGGGGACGAAGGCGCGTACCAGTCCCATGCTGCGCCCGAGAATGTAGACGAGGATCTGGTCGTCGACGGTACGCGGGTTGAAGAGCATGAAATAGGCCATGGTGAGGTGAAACAGAGATATCGAGGTGATGATGGTCTTGCCAGCGATGAGCGCCATCTTGACGGTGTTTGTTTCTGTTGTTGGTCGTCGGTCGATCGTGTCGCGTGTTGTCCGTCGTCGCAAAGGGGTGCGTGCTGCCCAAGCTATGTCGCTGTAGGTGATTGTGTAGCGTGCCTCGACAGGTCGCAATGACGTCCGAGGCCGTTTGAATAAGCGCCCGATACAAAATCCCGCCGTGAACGATGGTGTGGTTTTGTCACAGAAAGGGGAGGGAGGGAGGGAGTTGGTGTGTCGCAAAGGGAACAAAACGGTACAGAGAAAGACGTTTTGGCTGGTGGCTTTGTCTCCCCAAAGTAAAGCGGGGTGCGAGGCGGGCTGTGATCGCAAGGACGAAGTGTGGCAGTGAGGGTTTGAGAAGGGCAGGGTATTAAAAGAAGGTGAAAATCAAAAGCAACAAGGAAAGCACAGGGCGCGAGTAGAGTGGTAGTAGAAGATGGGCAGAATGTCGTGCAGAAGAAGGGTTGGTGTATGACGAGGCTGGTCGCGTTACAGCTCGCAGTGCCAGGCGCGTACTGTAAGAAGCAAGTACAGGCAAGCAATACTGGCTGGTAAGGGCACCTTTAAGTTAGTTACGCCAAATTTTGGGTGTGGCTCGCCGCTAGGAGCTGGCATTGTGGCGTTCAACGTGGCATGGCTGAACGGTCGCCAAGAATCAGACGAACCTGTTGTTACCTTGGGTGGGATGCAGGCTTGAAAAACTGGTATTATTATATTAAGGACGATTTGGGCCGATGCTGTGCTGTCATGTTTAGACAAGGTTGCATTGCACAGCCAGCCTTCCATGCAGAGGCGATCTACCATGAAGGAGACAACGGACGGATCCTGCACTAGAGGCATGCCAGTACGGATACGCTGTTTGGCAAAATCATCCCCCTGCTAATAAATTGAAACGTAAGGTATATATGAGCGATTCCATGCAACAAACAACGAAACACAACGATCATAACCAGCCCAGGCAACGGAAACGCCAGCCCTCGAGGCACCGTAACAAGACACGCTATTCAAGCATCCCATCAAGTAATTCATCATCAATTCCTGCCTCGCCGTGCTTAATACAGAAACTGTCGCAACTGAGGAAAGTTCTCCCACCACGGCGAGTCCATGCTCCAGTTACGCAGGTCCGACGCGAAAAGTTCAAACTCGGGATTCAGCTCAACGCCGCCGCGCTCCGTCTTGGTCATCAGGGTCTTACCCGGCGGCAGCACCAGCCGCATCGACCGCAGGTACAGGTCCACCGAGTGCCGGGCGTCCTTGTGCTGGTTGAGGCACAGGTAGTTGCGGAGCGCGGGGAAGGGGATGAAGTCGAGGCACTTGGGGTGCGGTATCGTGATCTGCGCCTGCGTCGGACGCATGATGGCGGGGACATCCGCCATGGACTCGGATGACGGATAGAAGCGCCACTAGATTTTTTGTCATGTCAGCATGCAGTTGCAACAGCGGCGAGCTTGGGGTTTACACGTACCCTTAGCAGTCTATACGAGAGGAGAAAGACGCCGCACAGCGTGTCCACGTGGGTAAAGTCGTACTGCTGTAGTATGGACGACAGGATGACGGCGAGCGGGGGGGACGAGTCCGTATGGTGCAGCAGCATGTCCGGGAGGGATGGGTTCCGCGGCGCCGTCATGCCGCGCCCGTTGGCCATGTCGCTGAACTCGACGGCCATGATGACGGCGATGCGCTCCGTGCACTGCACGTCGACGTTGTGCTGCTTGCCGCACCGGCACTCCACCACGGGGCCCTCGCCGCGGATCTCCGCCAGCAGCGCCTCCATGTCCATCTGCGCCTCGAGCGGCTGCTGCGGGAAGACCTGGTGAGCGTACAGCCGCTCCGTGAGGTGGTCGTAGAAGGGCGCCTGGCCGCCGACGGCGGAGTTGAGCGGCGTCGTCGGGTCCGAGGAGGAGCTCCACGGCTCGGACTTGGGCGCCGGCGGCGGACACAGGAGCTGGCCGGCGAGCCCGTGGAGGGGGTGCTGCGTGCCATCGTGGGACGCGCTGGGCGGTTGGTGGTGGTGGTGATGGTGTTGGTGGTGTGCCGCGTCAGAGGTGGTGAGTTGGCGCAGGTGCACCACCAAGTCGTCAATGGTGTGACGGAGAAAGGAAACGTCACGCTCAATGTTCTCCAGACGTGTCTTGTTCTCAGCACGGTTTTCGCGGTGCTTGAGCTTGTCGATGCGGCGCTTGTTGCCGAGCTGCTCCTCGGTCAGTGTCCGCTTGGGTTTAGGCGAATACTTTGACTCCATTGTGGTATTGTGGTGATGATGGCGGCTGGTGGTGTGAGAGGTAGGGTAGGGGATACGTGGGACACTGCCAGCTCACGGGAGAGGCGGAGAAAGGATGGCGTTGTGTATAGATGTATAAATAAGATATATATAAGATAGCTCAGAAATGATGATTGGTTTCAGAGCTGCAGGATAAAGTCGCCCCGCGGAGATGCGTGGTTGTCAAGTTGTCCTGATCGAAACCCGGGGAGAGAGATCAATGCATGGGAGTGCGTCAGTGGGTTTGGTGATGGACGATGGCCAACAGGGTGATGCGGAGTTTGCCGTGGGCACGGTGTTGGCAAGATGCGAAATGGGTACAAGCAATAATAACCTGTGAGCAAGCGGGAAACCTTGCGACAGCCGGGGCACATGGCAACTTGGCAATGGAGTCTTGATAAACTTGACCGTTCAGCCCTTTGAGAAGAAAAGATTCAGAGCCGACATAGCGCAAAACCTTGCAGCCCCGTGGGTGCCCAAAACGCGGGGTTGCGTAGAAACACACTAACTATACGTATGCCAGTTTGAGTCGCGAGAATTACGCCTGTTGGCTGCGTGGCCGAGGTGTGGCGGATCAGCGGAAAACGGAGCCTTGGGCCCGTTTGTCTGAGAACGAATGCCTGTCGAGCGAAAAACGTTACAGGCAATTTTCCCTCACCTTGCTTTGAGTAAGTCTCGGTGGATACCGGATGGCCCTGTAATATCATGCCATCGTTGACTTGTTAATTATTACAGAAGCCGATGTTTATCAAGGCATCGGCAGATGCTCGATGCAAGGGGATGAAGTGCAGCTGCCACGGGAACTCCGCACTTTCGGAGGAGAATAATCAGTAATGAACCTCGCTGTTGATAATGAGTTATCCTCTGACTATCCAGACATCTCCAACCGACCGAGGCACCAATCCCACCATGACGGCTCAGGGGCTGCCATCTTTCCATCAACCAACCCCACATCCCAGATTCTCTCACCCCCTCACCCCTCTTTCCCACCACCCTCCATCTCCAACCCCTACCTTGCAAAAAGCGTTGGAATACGAGATTTTAAGTGTGTTTGGAGAAAACGTTACAAATCTGAACAGTATTCAAGCAAGGAGGCCACTAACCAGCCATTTCCCGCTGTGCTTATGTCCGTCCGCTAAGCACAAATAGTATAGAACACAACACCATCTTTATATCGGACTTATGCTCTTCCCCAAGAGAGCCAGCAGAGCATCCGCAATCAGCTTAGGCAGAACCTCAAACTGAGACTTGTCCAACACTACCGACGGTTCGGTCTTCTTACTACATCCCTTCTGTGGCACGTCCTTCGCGCCATTCATCACCTCCTTCAGCCACGAAAAAGCAGCGGTGCGCCTACCACAACGTAAGCGCCGTGGTTCGAGAACACGTCCCGTGCATACTCGACCGACGCGCCGGCGCCGCAGTACTTGTCCACCAGGCTGTCCGAGTCCGCCACGGGGCTGACTTCGTCCATGACCGACTTATACCAGAACAGTGGTATCGTTGGCGTCGCCTTGCCTAGGCCGTTGGCTGCACAGATGCTCACCATGATCAGTCAGCAGGAAGTTGCGTTCCATGACATGCCTAGCATGCCTAGCACGTCTTTGTATAGGAACTCAGCCGCATAAGCGGCGAGTAGAAGAGAGTCTTAACCGTGGCCACAGTCGCGATGGGGTTGCCGTGATTGTCGCTCGTCCGGTACAGCAGCTGGGTGAAGTTGAGGTGGCGTGGGCAATGCCAAAAGCGGCAATGGCAGCCGGCGGGGCGCGCTGCTGGAGGATCTGGCCGGGCTTGTACTTGGACAAATTGCTAGTTGGAAAGTAAAAGGAGTCCTTGCTTGGCAGTGTCAGCCAAGCACGGGCTTGCAGAAGCGTAGACGCCGGGACGGCATACGCCGAGCCCTCAAGGGCCGCTAAGTAAGAGGGATGCAAAGAAATGCATGTGCAAGTATGCTGTATCGCGAGTAAATCCAAATTGGGGAAAATCGGCAAAATGAGGAACCATGGTGTCAGATTACCCCAATCTTTATATCTCTTGGAGAAAAGCATGCACTAGTCCAAGGATAGACGGTTGACATGGACATGGCCATTGGTCTTCGCCAAGTGGGCCACGGAGCAAGGCCGGCCATCTCACGGAGAAGCGCAAACCGGCGCCGGACTGCGACACCTCCGCACGGCGTCCGGTGAAGGATAACTAAATCTGTTTATCCTCGGTAGTGTCAGCAAGCATGACTCGAAGGTGAGCTCTTGTCCGCACCAAACTGAGCAGAATCATTGAATCTGGGGTAGCGTATCAACGTCGATGGAGACTAAGCGGGGCTGAGTGATGTTCGACGTCGAATCATTCCGTCTTTTCAGCCGAAACTCGGGTGCGGAGAGCCGCATGGACATTCGCGTCAAAACAGGGGTTAAATTGAGGGCTAAATTGATTGACCTCGTGGGCTAGTGGCCCTGCGGGCCGGCCGCTTCAGACGAAGGCGGCGAAACTTTGAGCCGATGTTTGGAGGCTCTGCTCTGTTTCGGAGATAATCTGGACTAATACTTCCATGGAAGACATGGCGACGCGGTAGTGTTTGGCACGCGACATTGCTGGCTCATTCAGGAGAGATCAATCAGTAGTGTTGATTGAAGAAGAAAAAGCTGAACTTGGGGCGAAATTTTTAGCGCACACACCCTCGCATCTACATATGTAATGGAGCTGTGGAGCATGGCGAGTGGACGCGCTCCACCATGAACTCGATTGGCAAGCCGCACGGAGTTGGACATTGAAGATGAATACGTAAAACGTGCCGAACCTTGTTATCTTGTGGCCTCGGTAAGAAGGCAAAGATGGGGAAATGTTCTGTTTTGTTTTCTGTAAGAGTTTTCAGGATCAAGCAAAGAAAATTGCTTACGTAAAGGTACTACAGTCGTGCTTGTTAGGTAGCTTGACCCGCCTCGTTCGCTTCCAGTCAAACATATCACCCCGGTCCTTCACCATGTACAGCTGCGAGACTTGATTGCATTGGTATCGGTTGCAATGAACACGCTATCTGAACCTCAGTATTAACGAAGTGCCAAGTTGCCTAAGCGAAGTGCGCCCGAAGCCTTTTTTTTCTCACAGTTACCCACTCTTTCAAATTTGCTTGAACATGAGCTCTCCTCCCTGAGCACGTCAGACATCTGTGCACACGCCTCAAAAGTGACAGCTACTGGCGGGCAGACAGAAGCCTTCCACTTACAAAAAGAAGTTCTCGCAGACGTGTTTTTGCGGCCCTCGGCGCTGAATGCTCGGCTGTCGTTACTGATAGGATTGACTGAGGCAGGATGGTTTTCTGATACAAACGCCGCTTGGTCCGCCAAGGGGTCGACGCAGGCGATGTAGAGAGACATTGAGAATCCAACCAACTTTTAGGAACAAGAGGCAACATACCATAAGCGTTTCTATGACCCTGAAGAAAGAGCTTTCCGCACAGCCTACCTCAGTCGTTCACGGGAAGCTGAGACGCACACCCCCTGTATCCAGAGGCGAATCCCTCGACGATGCACCCGAGCGAGGGAACACAAATGCTTCACAAGGCGGCGCTAACAGCACCAATTATATTGTTATTCCAGCTATACGAGAAAATCGTATTCAGATAAGCCCTTTCCTGTTCGAAAGCCATCACATCTTCCCAATCCTTTCTCGCGAGCGCCTCACAAATCCATCTCTTTCCAAAGAACACAACCTCTTATCGATCTTCCATGATTTAGAAACATGCCGGCACCTAAGGAACTTGATCTTACCACCATCGTCGTGTTTTTCAAGGTCATTCAGAGTCCACGTGGCACCAATATCCTCACACTGGCTGAAAATCACAGATTTCTTCTGGATCTGGCTAAAATGAGCAGTCATGCTAAGCGGATAATTGAGCAATCTATGGGTGGGGTTGAGCAAGAGGGAACCTTGAGAGATGTTCTCGCATTCAAGTTTCGGGAGAATATTCACGCACCACGCGGCTGGCTTGTTGGGTCTGCCGAGACAGATGACTGCGACCTGAAGCTCGCCAAGGACAATCATTCTGGTATCAGCAGATTTCATTTCTGCATTGACATCAGCCCCGAGAACCGTCCTCGAATCACTAATCTGTGCAGAAATGACATTCACATTTATGGACAACACGCTGCAACAACCGCTGCTCTTAGAGCAAACGAGTGCAGAGACATCGAGGGACCTGTTGTCATTCACATGGGAGCGGCATCTCTTCGAATATGGCGACCGATTCTCACGAAGAAAGAGCAGGCCAAGTTTGTCAAAAATGCCACGGCTTTCAGCATGGATTTCATGCAGGCGGTACCGAAGCCTCCTCGCCGCAATCCGGATTCTACCTCAGATATCCGCTTTGGCCTTAGGAACACCGCTTACCGAAAGGTTAAACAGGTAAAACTACGCACGGGCTCTTTTGGGTCAGTTGTCAAAGTGATAGAGCTACGTAGCGGAAATTTCTTCGCCGCCAAAATGCCGCATCCAGACTTCCGTCGGTCGGTCAGTGCAGAGCGGCAAAACTGGGAGTTGATACAGAGAGAGTTTCGCAGCTTAACAGAACTGCACCACGTGAGTACTCCTGTCCAGCTCGCATGCTCAACGCTAACACGAAATAGGAGAACATTGTAAGAACCATCGAGACAATACCAGGCGACCTTGGCACCGAGCCGCCGTGGCTGGTCCTGGAGTGGGTTGAGCAGAGCCTCTGCAACTACTCGCCGTCGGCACGCGAATTGCCAGACATCCTTCGCCAAATCAGTTCCGGGTTGTCCTACATGCACGAAAAGGGTTTCACACACCGCGACATAAAGCCAGCCAACATACTCATCCGCCGGAACGGCCCGACCACCGTAGCCAAGATTGCGGATATCGGGTTTGCCAGAAATGGCGGGGCCAGAAATACGTACACCTTCTCCGGCACGCTTCTCTACATGGCGCCTGAGCTTTGGAAGTCCCAGAATGGCTACTCCAACGCGGTTGATCTCTGGTCCCTCGGAATGATTGCGTTGGAGATCCTCACCAAAGGGGGCATTTTCTATGGCGCACCGTCGGATCGTGGGCATTTGCCCATCGAAACTGAGTACCTCGCATGGATCCGGAGCAGGGTCTTGCCGCGTCGGGATTACGACCCCGTGTACAGGCCCCTGATAGACGCATTGCTGTCGGAGCAGGCCGTCGAACGCTGGAAGGCCCATCAGTGTGAACGGTGGCTTCTGCGTCACTGTCGTGATGCGGAGTTAGCGGAGATCAGTCACAACATGTAAAATCTAATGCCTGTACTCGCCGCGATTTACGTGCACAGCCACCTCCACATACCGAGTCGGGTAGGTACAACAAGCCTCGTTACGTATCCCCAGACTGCGTGCTGCGGGTCATGAAACAGCACCGCATAGGTAGGTCAAGCCATTCGGCAAGGTCAATGTGTTTCTCCTTCTGGCACGTTACCTATACTAGATGAGGTTTTCTGGTAAGCTCTCGTATAGCAATTATCACCAGTAGTGTTGCAAAGCTCAGTTTGTCCATCGCGCCTTTAAGTCGCCTACACAAATGTGTAATCCGCATGCTTGGTGGCTTGAGACTTCCAGTCGATCAATATCCTGTAGCAACTGACATTTAATTGAAGTTGTTTTTGCTCAATTTCTCGTTTCGCAACTTGGTGGATGGCCTCCTTAATCCGCACGCCAACGGCTGCCACCAAGGCGGCCTCGCATTGTTCAACAAATCCAAGGATGTCACTCTCAACCTGCTCTATCTCAAAGGAAACGCTCTTCGCAAAATTCATGAGACACACAGGCGCTCTGGACTTGTCAGCTTTCAGCTTGGGCCTGAATGCGGCGACCAAGTCGGTGATGCCCTTGAGACACTCCTGCACCTTCTTCAGAGGCAGGCAATTGAGGCTAGCGAAGGCATTCTCTATGATTCTCATAGCGCTGAAGACACTTTCGGGCGAACAAGGCCACGGCGTGAGCCTCCCGACCAAGACCGCGCTCGTACTTAACAAGGTGTCTCAAATGCTAGAGAGAGGCGAGGCGACCGCGGGACAAGATGGTCCACATGATTGCTCATTCGCAAAGTTTCTGCACATACGCTTTATCAGAACGGTGGCAGCCCTAAATATGTAAAACTGAGATTTCGCGGCAAAAGGAGACCTGATGCCCGTGAACTTGGCAACGGTCAACTCTCCTTCTTTCCGTATGGTTAGAACACAATCGAAACTTTGTGCTCCCGACGTCAACTCACCTGCTTGTGGATCTTTGGCGGCATCAAGTCTCATCTTCTTCGCGTTACTGCCTATGGAGAGCTCCGCGGCTCTCTTGGGAGCTGGGCCCTCGGTCGGGGTAGCGTTGGCGGCGGCGGTAGTGACAGTGGTTGTGTTGTCAGGTTCTGCAACTTTTACGGCAACGGTTGCACGGATTGTTCCCTGATTTCTCTGTAGAGTCTGATTCGGAGGCAGCTTCCTGATGAAGAGGGCGGTGTTGGTGTCATTCTTGTTCGAGATGTGCACGCCGTGGGCTTCTGCAATCTGGCCCTGTGCCGTCGCCTCCCGCAGCGGCTCCGCACCGGGGGTGGCCGCATCTCCGTTGGGGAGATCCAAGCCGCACTGAATCTGCTTCATGGACTCTTCCAGGATCTGGGAGAGCTTGTAGTCCTCGATCAAGTCGTCGACCGACGCGACCTCGTGGTTGTCGAACAGCAACCGCTTGACGACCCGTCGCCGGTCGCGCGACGAGAGGCAATTGCGAGACCTTGCCGGCGACTTCGAGCTCCCGCAACACCTCGGCGACTCGGGTCGTCAGCTCGGTGTCGATTGCTGGCCTTGTAGTGTTGAGTTTGGCTTCTGAGATGATTATCGCGAGGAGGAAGTACTTGAAGGAGTGAGGCTCTTTGGGAGGTGTGTGATGAAAAGAGAGAAAAGAGAAAAAAGTGAAATGAGAATATTGACCGGGCGCTTGCTTCGCCTGCGTTTGCATGCTGCCCGTTCATCGACTGACACTTTCTTTCATAACCCACACGGTGGAATCCCAGTTGCCGTTGGCTGACCTATGTAGATTTTAGTCGTCTGCTCCCAACCGCGTTTGGATCTGTACTAAAGTTCTGAATCATAGATACATTTCGTCTAGATTGATGCTGTAAATATTGACAAAATCGTTCAACATGTATGTAGTAATATTTTGTATGCCCCCTGTATGCACCAGGACCGCTACCAACGCGTCACGACGAGCAAAACGTGTCTTGCGCCGCAAAGGCCGCCTTGTACTCCGCATCCCACTTTGCCTCGTACTCGGCCATCGCGTCCCTCGCGCTCTGCCTGGCCATCGCGTCCTCCTTGTCCAGCGCCGCGCGCCTCTCCGCGATGTTCTCCAGCGCCTCCCTCAGCCTTTCGCGGTGATCCCCCGCGACCGCCTCCAGCTCCCGCATCTGCTCGCGCAGCTTGCGCGCGACGCCGCACAGGTTCTGGACGTACGCGCGTGCGGCCGGCAGTGCGTCGAGGCCGCCAAGCGCCTGCACGGTGGCGAGCGCGTCGCGGACGCCGCACCGCAGGGACTCGTACGGCAGGCGCGCGCGCGCGAGGGCCGCCTCGTAGAGCGTCAGGCAGGACCGCGTGCGCGCGTGGTCGGCGACCAGTCCGGGGGGGAGGCGCAGGTCGTCGGGGCAGCGGTTGAGGAGGGCGATCCAGCTGGGAAGGCTGGCGGCCTCGGGGCAGTCCCACTGGCGCTCGTGCAGGAGGTTGGGGAGGTGCTTCTGCGCGTAGGCGAAGCAGACGGCCTCCATGGCGCTCTGCACGGCGAGGCAGAGGTGGTGTTGCACGATGAACGGCACCAATATCAGTAACCGAATGTCCGCTGGGAGGAGGTGGTTAGAAACAAGGGCCCTGGTGTTGTTGTTGGTCTGCGGGGGGCGGGTCGTCGGGGTTGACTTACGGTGTGTTTCAACGTCGTCTAGGAGCAGCTCTTCTATGATGCCGCCCTCTGGAGAGGCCGGTAGGTCGTCACTTCGCTCGGGCGACGCGGTGCTGCTCGTCGGCGTCGGCCCTGACGCGACAGCCGCTGATCTTCTCTGGTAGTTCTTGATTTGATTCAATGCTTCGTTGTTTATGGTGAACATTTGGTGCACGCTCCATGTCAGTTCGCGAACTGATTCGATGTGCTGGTTACTTTGCCACAGCAAGTCTAAGCGCTTTCTCAGACGCGTGTTTGACAGCTTCTCGTGGCCAAACTGGGTGAAGTAGTTGAGGTCGCGGAGCGCGTTGCTGACAATCAGGCGCAGCTCGCTGGCCTCGCCGGTGCTGCCAGCATCCGTTCTTGACATCTTGCGCGCTCAATTAGGCCGTGATATGGATACGCGCGCCGCTTGCCAGAAGTTGAATTGTGGTCAAAGTTTTTGCCCAACCTACTGACCCAACCAGGGGTATCCCCGCCCCCACTCGGTCACAGCAAGAATACTACTAGTAACTGTGCGACAGCTTGTTGCCCCTATTAGTTGTTAATTGATTTCAGGTCTTTTTGTGCTTTATAATTATGCAATTGATATCTTCTCAGCTTTCTTTTCAACTGGGAAGAGATATAAAAGAGCTGTCAAGGGGTGGTTAACAAAGCATGCCTCCTTTACCGCTGAACTGGTTAGCGCTCGGCCTTCCTTGCTTTAACCCTTGCTTGATATAAATTGTAGCTGATCTCGGATCTAGGAATTATTTGTGCTAAACATGGCAAAACAGAAAGGTTCGATTAAAGGAGCTGTTGCCTCTACGCGCCGTATCCCAGGGCCTGGCCCTCAATGTCTCACCCCGTCGCGAGCCCGGCTACACGCGGGGCGGCCCGTACGCGCGGGTCTCGCTACCATTACGGCAATACTTGCTGGTCAGTTACATTAGAGTTGAACTTTGGTGGACATTGTCATTGAATTCTGTACCATGGAGTATTGATTCCATCAACGTCAAAGCCCGATGGCGAGTCAGACAGTCAGTTTGACAGCCTGACTTGTCTCGGGAAAACGCCAGTCTCAGCACCAGCTCATCTTACTACTAGTCGGATTATTTCCTGATGAATAGCTGTCGCCCACTACAAATCTTCGTACGAAATGGGATCTTTTTGTTTTCTCTTTATTGTTAATTGGTTTTTTTAATTCACTGTTTTAGTAGCAAAGCATTTATGTTTTAATGCCCGTCGGCCGGTAACAAGGCCCTCGCCGACAGTAAACAAGTACAGCTTGAACCCCGCGATCGTGGCGGACGGACCGCGCTTGACTGGGCCCGGGAATACGGCCATATTAATGTTGTGAATCTTCTTTTGCGAGCAGGCAGGGAGGACATCCTCCCGCCACGTCCGTTGGAGTTGGCCCCTAGTTGTCATCACAGCCCTATTAATCGGACGACAATAGCTAGACATGGACGGCAAATTTTTATTGATATTTTACGAGTGAGATGAAGTCTGATGCAAAGTAAATCTACATTAATAACTTTGTTAAGTATTTTAGAGTTTGCACTTTGATTATTTTGTATTTTGTGTACAACAGAAAGCTAGTTCTGGCATCGTTGGGCCGATCAATTCCTCACAAAACAACAACAGAAAACTTCCACATCAGCTGTTCCGCTCTCCCCAAAAGCGTTGTTTGCATCTCAACATTGATTATCCACGCTCGACTCAACATGAAGTCTACCATATTCGCGGCATCTGTGCTCCTTGCCGGCCTTGCTCTGGCCTCGCCGCTGCCGAAGCCCGACACACCGAAGCCGCCCGCCAACCAGTGTCCCCTGGGTCAACATTCGGTAAGACAACCCAACTGCTGCCATTGCACCACACTATCATGAAACCATGGAGCTGACATGCTCTTTTTACTATGTAGGAGCCAAACCACTGGAGTCCAGGTGGCCCGCCTATCTGCATCCCCGACGGTGCGATTCAGTAGACGGACCGTGACTGACCTCTCCAAGCTTGGGTACTTTTTCCTTGACGAGGAGGAGACGATTCAGCAGTGACGAGGTAAAATCATTACTGGTCTATATCTTTTCTCTTGATCCTTTTAGAAAGGAAGAAACCAATAGTCACCACTCATTTTGCTACTGGTGTCCCGTGAGAGCGCTTGTTTTCCGAGCTCTTGTTTGCGGAGCTCTTGGCTCTCTCTGTACGTGCATGGAGAAACCCCGCCTCGCTTCGGCTACTGCGTAGTAAGAGAGTCGCCAAATAATCACGTCAAAAGCCACGCCAAAAGTCACACAAATCTCCCAAATTGCCCCGTTTTCATCATTTCACATTATTACAGCATCTGCAAAGTCATATGCTAGCGTATGCAGGCCAATCCTACACGTGACGAGGCTGGCAAAATACTTGCTTAAAAGTAGCGAGGTAGGTTGGCGCCGAGCCGCCGACTTCACCAAACGCCCGACCTGCCCAACCCACCAAACGGGAAAAAAAAATGGCAGAGGAGCAACTCACCCATGGGGTGTCCCCGTACAAGATTGACTGGCCCTTTAACGCCTGGCTGGTCGTGATCCTCACTCTTGCCTACGGCTGTCTCGTCGCCGGCCACCACAAGCCCCTCCTCCTCGCCGTCCTCCTCACCACCGCCACCATCCTCCTCCTCGACCGTACCTCCACCTGGCACCAGACCTTTGCCCTCCTCGTCGAGCTGCCCCTCGGCCTCGGCTCCGTGCTCGCCTTCCTCTCCGCGCCGCCCTCCTTTCGCGCGCGCCACCACCGCTCCTTCGCCGCGTGCGTCAACCTCCTCCTCTGGCTGCGCCTCGCCCTCGCCGTCCTCGCCGTCCCCGCCGAGGCCACCTTTCGCGGGTGGTGCGGCCGCGTGGCCGGCTCCTGGCTCCTGGCCTCTCTCGTGCAAAAGGCGCGCCACCGCGGCTCCTGGGCCGCCACCACGCCGCACGACGACGCCAACGACGACGACGACCACCACCACCACCACCACCACCACCGCGGCCGCTTGCTGGTCTTCTCGGCCGTCGGCCCGGGATGGGTCCTCGCGCACGCGGTCTACCGCTACATCCTGCGCACGCTGCCGGCGACGTACGGCGCGGGACACCGTCTGCGTCTGCTGGACGGGCTGTCGCTGGGGATGGCGGGGGGGTTGGGGCGCGCGGCGAGGCTGGAGTGGGCGCGCTGCTGGGTCATGGCGGACGTGCTGGTCGGGGGCGCGGCGGCGGCGTGGTCGGCGGTCGCGGACGTGTTTGACTTGCTTCCGGGGATGGAAGGGGAGGGCGTGGGATTCGATGTGGACAGGGACTTGTTCCTCGCGGGGCTGCAGCTGTCGGTGGCGCTGGTCGCGGCGGCGGGCATGTTTGAGGCGTGGGTGGAAAAGTCGGTCGAGGACGAGAAGCGGGAGAAGGCGAGGAATCCGCAGCCACCGCAGCCGCGCAAGGCAGCGGTTGCTACGGGCTATGAGTTTTACGAGGTTTGAGCCATGCATATATTTATGTACATTTATACAACGCTTTACTTGCCCGTCGCCAAGGGGAAGCATGGCGATGATTGTGTCGCGCAAGCACTTGGGAGGTGGTTGTTTGTGGATTAATCCGTATTCCTCTGGAAAATGGGAACATTACTCGAGGTCGGATTCCTTCCTCATCCTTTTCACATCGTATGACCATTGAGTCTACAAAATCACCAACATGCCGAGATGCGTGGCTGCTGCGAGCGGTTCAACCAGGACCACAAGACTGTTGTGCGGCTGCTACCTCGACATGTGGCGGGAAATAACGACCACAGATATGGATGCATGACGACGATTTATTGTTTGCATGGAAAAATTTGCCTCGATATAGGTGCTACATGCAGTGATTATGCAGTACTTTACTTGTCGAGACTGCATGCTGCACGGTCTGTCTGTGACTCGGCAACGGCCCGGGACGCCGCTCCCCGCCTGTGTGGCTTTTCCCTTTCAGCTGGGGGCTTTGTTCATGTTACATCCGCAATGCCCCTTCTCTAACCATCATCCTCTGATCTAGGAGGAATATTTCATCAACCTGAGATTTCGCTTGGACTTTAAATTTAAATGGCTTTTGATATCATCGCTCTCTAGTTATAGGACTACTCAGCCGGACCGCTCCATCGAAGCCGTACTCCATCAAGGTTGTTGAGGCTGGGAATCAACTCGCCGGTATTTAATCTGTGAATCTCAGGTCTGCCTCCCACTTCATCACTTTCGTTCGGGTTGTACTAGCCTATGTATGTATGTATGTATGTATGTAGATGCCTTCCCAGCCGTACACCTTCCGATCCCGGCGGCATGTCCCCATCTCCTGAAATTCCTAGTTGCCTATTAATAAAGACGATGACCGCCTCATCTCCTCCCTCCTTCTACGATCCACTAGTTACCCGCCGTGAAAAAAAGGTCACGCCAAGGGTGGGTAGAACGGGCACCTAAACCAATAAGTTACGGCTTCAGCCCCGGGACGTTACACTAACGTTAATCATAAGCAACGACCCGCAGTGTCAGAAATCTGACCGCTTGCTCCGCCTTTCCGCTCAGAATTTCCCTGCTTCTTGAGCTTCTTGTGGCGCGCTTCTTGATTCTCTCCAACGCACAAGGGGCCTTGATGCCACGCGTCTCTGCCAACATGCCTCCTGCTGCTGCTGCGGATCACGAGTGCGCGCCTCTGCTAGCCGAGCGCCGCGAACCGGACGAGGCCCTCGCCGGCTCGGTCGCCGCCGGCTTCCACCCGGACGGCGACC